CATTCCTTCGTGATTGCTCTCGCTCGATGCCTTTTGTATTCTATTCGAATTGCTAGAAAATTCTAATATCAAAGAACATGATTGCCGCAAGAATCACCAAGGGTCATCAAAGTCTATGGAATCAGAAATCGCAGTTGAATGTTTCAACAATAGTACAAATCACGGCTTGAAATATTCAACATATACAGGTCGAAACCACGCAACAAGAACTCTTGGCAGTCGGTTATATGGTCTCCAGAAGCCAATCAAAGGCTTAACATCAGTAGTCAACGCTTATATGCTCAAGGTGTTTACATATTGTGTTTCTGAAAGTCAAAGCAAGCCAGACAGGCTAAAACGGGGACTGAAAGCACTACAAGTAATAATAAATAATAATTTATTGACTTATATTGCGCTGCTTCAATAAAATTATCAGCAGCGCATTACAATATATATGATATAAAATAAATCTAATCTAATTCACTAAAATTACAATGTAAATAAATATTGTAATCACAATCGAAATTATATATAATAATATATATATATATACACATATACACACACACACTCATATATATACATACATATATAATAATATTAGGAACTAATCTAAACGAAATTCCAATAAAAATCTTAAAAAAATTCACTCCGGCAAAAAAGTACTTATCAAAGAAAACAACAATGTCTCAGAAACCAGCTGTAAAGATGCCTTAACAAACTTTGTTACCTTCTTAGAAGAAACAAAAAAGAAGAGTGACAAAGAAATAATTCTAATTGCTCATAACGGCAATGTTTTTGACTTTCCAGTTCTCGTGAACTCTCTGGTGAAATATCGCCTATTTGACAGAGTTAGCAATTTGAACTTGTTGTTTTTGGACAGTCTTAAACCTACTTTCCAATATTTTTAAAGAAAGGAAAGAGATAACAAGTCTCGCTCTCTCAAATCTCTATTTCCATATCTTTTCGAAAGAATTCCAAGCCCATGATGCATTTGCCGAGGTGAAGTCCCTAATTGAGATAATACTAAATGTTAAACCTCAACTGGACTTTTGTGAATATGCAACAAGTACATTGAAGGAACTGAAAATTGGCATGGATAACGAGTCTAGAATACGTAAAAGAGTGATATCTATGCATGAAGTACCTATTTCAAAACTGATCCATGAAAGAAAAGATCGCAAAGGCTGGAATAGGGTACCAGACTCTAAATAGCGTGTATGCACGATATGGCTCAAGGGGTATTATTGGCCTTTTAGCCACGAATATAAACAATACACCAAGAGTAACAAAACAGAGAAAAATACTAAGTTTGTCAATTTTTTTGAAGAAAAATACAAATAAATTGTACTTTTTATGTACACTGAGTACCTAGAAATAGTTCGGGTATAGCCACACATTAACAAATAAACAAACGGATCGTCAAAGAAATAGCACAGTTCAACATAAAAATTAAACAAACAGACAAGAATAATAAATAAAACAAGGAGACAGACAGAAAAGATAAAAAAGAGTAACTTGCTTTTGCTGCCAGAAATGTTGATTTATGACTAATGGTTTGCACCATATAGAATACAAAAGGCATCGAGCGAGAGCAATCACGAAGGAATGCACCGATAGTTGTCAGGAATATATTAGCATAAACTTATGAACCGTGAAAAGAGAATGTAGAGTTCTTGCCGTGTGACTTCTCAACTTCAAGGGCCATTTTAAAAATATTACAATGAATCAACCGACATGAGCTTTTGCAGGTGCAGATCATTTATCCTTGAGAAGACGTGGCTAAATTTTTAAAAAAATCGTTCGAGCCGCTTATGAGAAATCGTGGAAAACGCAAAACTTCGAAGATTTTGCTAAATCTTTACTTAAAACGCCCTTCGAGAAAAAAATTCGTTCTCAAGACCAGCAAGGGAATAGTTGACCAAACTTACACAGTTTAAAAACAAGAGCAACAGCAACATCTTGGGATATTTTTGAAGTAATTTTATTCAATAGAAAATTTTCAAACCTGTTGACCTGTTAACCTGTTCTCTGTTGACGTCCTCACTGCGACATAAGCATAATTATCGRACGTACCACGAAACACAGAAAATAATTACTGCTCTCTTTTGCACTTCCATATATGGTGTGTACGATTCCTACCATTACTACGATTCCTACCGCTCTTAGGAATGATTACGTCACTATACATATATGGTCTTGCCTGGTTGCTCAGTAGTYTTAGCGTTTTCGACTCTAACAAGTTGTTGAAATCACACGCATTCAATATCAAGCATTATACTTAGGATCTTTCAAAAAAAGTTTTTTTCAAGGTTCTATTTCTACAACATTGATAGACACCTTCGTTTGGTTTTGGTAGAATCTGTAATTTCAGTCATGGAAAAAGTAATCCTCAGAAAGTTGGTATATTTGAAAGATTCCTTTGCTAAGCTTTACACCCGTTATGGTGCTTTTTATTCTATGGAATTTTATTAGGCATACATTAGTTCGCCATATATATTAGTTCGCTATGTAGCGTCCATTAAGCTTATGTATGGTAGGTACAACTAAGTCAGTCAGCTAACAATTTACCTAGATCTCCTCTATCTTGAATTTAATACGGCAAAATATATAGARAAATCTATACAAATCTGGACCACTTTGACTAAACGGATATCTGTTGTTGGATTTTCCAAATTTAAACTCTAATATATAATCATCACTGGGCATGCATAGTTGTTCGACCGAGCTCGAACAAGACGAATTCATGAGTTTAGAGTCAATGTACTTTTCATATATATCTATAGTCCTTAACGATAAACGTCCTGAACGATATTTTAAAAACAAAAGTTAATTTTTTTGATGCGTAGTTTTTCAATATCTGCTTTATTTAGGTTAATAAATAACAAAGTTTTTTTAAAAAGCTCTGAGCTCGGCAGCTCGTATSAAACAAAGAAACGCGCACGATCGGCTAAAAGATTTATACACATGAAATTTAAAATATTTTTTTAAAGGTTTTGAGGCAATAACGAACAGTAGGAAACAGCATTCTAAGACTAAYACGTTGATATCCGATATTCCAACCATATTAAAGTTCATGCTTAGGGATAAATGTTTTCATGAAACCGATCATTAAAAGGAAAATCTTTTTTATTTATACACGGTATGCATTAAAGCTAAGACCTTGTGGGCCGTGTATATTAGCCGTGAACGCTATCATGTATGATGTAACCATAGAAAAAGCCATATATTCACTTTCTACAGATATTGTCATGGATCTTTTGTATTTCAAATTTGCCAACCGTGAAAACAAAAGTAGCCTCAAACATTAATATCAATAGGTAACGTTAGCAAACAAAAAAWTTATTCATTAATATATAATTCTATAGGGTGATGATATCCAATATGATGAGGACATATCAAGTGAAGAAACTGATGAAGAGGTAATTGAACCTTGCTCAATTTCTTTTCAATGTTTAATTGCTATTTACACCTAGTACCTTTTTGAAATTACGCATTTCAAAGTTTTCATAAGAAAAACCTTAAACATTTTATTTTCAGTCAGAATATAACCAATTTATATTTTGTGAGTGAAAGAGGGTTCCAAGTGTAAGCGTACAATCAAAATATTGAATTTAAAATATTCTTGGGCCRTAAGGTTGTCGAAAACGAAGAAAATAAGGGACTTGCCCATATGCTTTTCGCTTTATAAATTTGTGTAGTATTTCTAAAAGCAGTAAAAACAAACAGGCRAAATGTTGCCATTAAACACTTAACCGCAATCCGCTTTAATTGAGTTTATAATATTGAATGGTGGTGAATGAATGGTGTATAAATATTATAACCTGAAAATAAAATTTGTTTGATAATGAGAAATGCACTTGCTGTACTTGTTTATTATGATTATAATTATGTATGTGAGGCTTCTTTCTTTTCTTTCTTTATAGTTATCTTCAGAGAGCAGTATGTCATCATTCACATCTGATTGGGAAGCAAACAGCGAAGAAAATGAGGTAAGGGTAATCCTATATCTAATGAATAGTCATTATTCTCCTTATGAATATTTTTATTGTCATTTTTATTATTAGCRAATAGACATTATCTATGAAACAAAACCAAATATGTATTGTCTTATTGCATACCTTTTAGTCTTATTCATGTTTTAAATTTTTGATGACATTTAGAGATATTTGTGGTTATTTCAGGATTAGCACTGCAGTTTCTACAAGTGTTTTTTATGCTTTTCTTTTGTGAAGTTACACAAGCATGTCTTTATCAAATGCTAAACTAAAACCCTAATTAAAACCATTAATAGACCGCTGTGTTCCTTGATTACAGACTCATTTGCGCAGGGTTAGCCTTGAATTTGTGCAGAATATTCGCAAATACCAACAGAAAAGTAAAGAATACACAACTTCAACAATTCAAACATTTTGAAACTCGACGGGCCTTGACTGGAACACGTGAATATTCTGGGAATCAAGGAACACATTTCCACTTGACTCTGTTTACAATTCTGTTTACAGTCTAGTACCCTTAGAGGTTACTATTTTTAAAATTTATTAGAAACATATCCAGGGAAATATATTTGTCTTAGCATGCATTTAYCATATAAAATCGACATGTGAAGGATTTTTCTCCATAAACGTTTTCACATTGTAAACAGACCCTTTCCCAGATTCTTTACAAGGGTTATATTAAAGGCTTTATCTTACATTGTAGGATAATGACTTGGCAAACATTCTACAAGAATTGGTCAAGAAAGTAGACGTTAAAAAGATTATTGAAGATGACAACAAATCTTCACCTGGGATTTTTGAAGCTGCAGAATGTCTCAGCAAACTATTAGAAAGCAACTATTCATCAACTTTCACCACAGCACCAACCAGCTCCAGCACGACCGTTCTCAACTCTTTACCACTATCAGTAACCTTTCCACAAATCTTGACAATACAGAAATTCCATTGACCACACATGCAAGCCAAACGTCCATCCTCCACGCCATTTCACAAATTAAGCACTGGTCATCTGTCCTAGTTTCAATGTTAGATAATACAAGTAATAGCCATGTACCACCGCCCCAAGAACCACCACCACCTAACCACTCTCTTCACAACATCAGCCATGTACCACCACCCCAAGAACCACCACCTTCTATCCAATCTCTTCACAACAGCTATGTACCACCACCACAAGAACCACCACCTTCTATCCACTCTCTTCGCGACATCAGCTATGCACCACCACCACAAAAACCACCACAAGAACCACCACCACAAGAACCACCACCACAAGAACCACCACCACAAGAACCACCACCACAAGAACCACCACCACAAGAACCACCACTACAAGATCCACCACCTTCTATCCACTCTCTTCGCAACATCAGCCATGTACCACCACCACAAGAACCACCATCTCCTTTCCAATCTCTTCACAACATCAGCCATGTACCACCACCACAAGAASCACCACCACAAGAAGCACCACCACAAAAACCACCACAAGAACCACCACCTCATGAACCACCACCACAAGAACCACCACCTTCTATCCAATCTCTTCGCAACATCAGCCGTGTACCACCACCACAAGAACTACTACCTCCTATCCAATCTCTTCGCAACATCAGCCATGTACCACCACCACAAGAAGCAAAAGTTCTGGACAACGAAACAAGCAATATGTACAATGGTTGCAAAAAACAGGGCCAGTCATAGTGAGTGGTTGGACAGTTTATGCATTCCCAGGCAAGTAGAAAGTTTAGAAGATGTCAAAAAGATTTGGGAAGTTGGAACTGCTAACTGTCCTCCACTTGCAGAATGGACTCAACAAATGCGTACCCATAAGCCTTTTGGTAGGCAAAGCCATTCTTCGATTTTTGGTCAGAGAAAGCAGTTATACAATATATTCAAGATGAACAATTTTGATGTGTGTAAAGTAAAAGAGATATATAATGAGATTAGACCAGGAAAGCTGTATAAGCTTCTTCTGCTTGTTGTACTATAGAACTGGAATTATGAAGATAAGATAGAGTGAAGGCATTTAAGAGGGCGTCTCTGTAA